TACCAGTCTTCTTACCACGAGCAATGACGAGTTCTCCTTTGGTAATCTTTCATTCACAACCTGAAAAGGTTGTACTGTATCCTTCTCTATCAAGCTGTCCTACAGAAATCAAATTTCTTTTGAGACCAGGAATATGTCTCACTCCTGTCAGCTTCCAAGTGGTTTGGTTTGGCAGCTTTAGTCGGATGTCTCCTTTTCCGACGATCTTCAAGGTTTCATCATCAGCAAGATGAACCTTCCCAAAATCACCACTGACATAGTTCTCCATGATTTCTTGGCATGACGTGGAGTGGAAAGATGCCCATGAATCCAAAATCCATGATTCAATCGGATTGTTGACGCTTAAAATCATGGCATCACCTGTCTCCTCCGTCATGTTGGCAGATTCCTGTGCGCCGGTATTTTTCTTCGGTGCTTGGCAATCTCTTTTGAAGTGGCCCTTCTTGCCGCAATTATAACAGGTAAAATCTTTATTTCCTGTTCTTGATTTTCCCCTTCTGGATTTCGATCTGCCACGATTTGAATTTCTTTCTGAAGTTCTCCCTCTGGACTCCGTGTGCAAGGCTGAGGAGGTTGATGCTTCACCCGATTCTCTCCGTCGAATTTCTTCGCTCAGTACCAGATCCCGAACATCGTCGAATTTTAATTTGTTGTTTCCCGACGAACTGCTGACTGCTGTAACAGTAGCATTCCAACTGTCTGGTAAAGATGATAAGAGAATTAAAGCTCGAACTTCATCATCAAATTCAATTTTCACTGAACTCAACTGGGTTGTGATTGTGTTGAGTTCATTTAGGTGTTGTGCCACCGATGCCCCTACCGTCATCCGCAAATTGAATAATCGCCTCATCAAATGAACTTTGTTTGAGACCGATAGCTTCTCATACATACTGGAGAGAGCCGTCATAAGACCCGCCGTGGTCTTTTCCTTTGCTATGTTGAAAGCAACATTGCGGGATAACGTCAGTCGGATAACTCCGAGGGCTTGTCTGTCGAGAAGAGCCCAGTCTTCATTCTTCATGCCCTCTGGTTATTTTCCTGAGAGGGGTTGATATAGATTTTTCTGGTATAGAAAATCTTCAATTTGCATCTTCCAAAATCCAAAGTCCGCACCATCGAACTTTTCAATTTTCACCTTCCCTTCGTCTGCAGCCATCGCTCACACTCGAATCTGGCTTCGTTTGGATCGTTTCTGAAAATTTTTGCGAACCGCCGTGTATTAGAACACATCCGTCGACAAACTCGTATCGCCGACCGAATTTCACTATTCACAAAATTCACTATTTACGTGAATAGTAACCCAAATAGTACCTCGCAAAAAATTGACAAAATTCACAACCCAAAAGCTCTGATACTAGTTGTTGGGAAATAAACCAAGTACAAGTAATTTTCCTATAACCAGATTAGTGAGAATGCAAAATAAAAGCGGAAAAATAATACCCGAAATTGATAACGGAGTTCAGCCAATTGTGCTTACATCTCCGGACTGCTGCAGATCTTTTACTAAGAGAGAAAATTTACAGGTGTTTACAAAACACTCACTACTCACAAGAAAACTCTCTAGTATTGGGAGAAAAAAATGATTTTTGGGATGGTTTTGAAGCTAAATGAGCTAGGGTATTTATAGTTGAAACTTAAGGACTTAATCTTGTAAATACCCTAAAACCTAGGGATTAATTGTGATTATCCCATTATCATTTTTCAACAAACATCTACCAAACTTTGAAAAACTATTTTTCAAAGAAACATTTACAAAACTTTGAAAACCATTTTCAAAGAAATTTACCAAACTTTGAAAACCATTTTTTCAAAGTTGGTTACCAAACTTGAAAACCATTTTAATACTTTCAACACTTTGTTGGTTCACAATCTTTACTAAATTCACATTTAATTAAGATGGTCTTTTATTATGGATTATGATGCTTGTGAATTGATTCATAATTCTTCAGTTTAATATTGTTCTCTTAAATTTTGCATGCAAATGCCATAAAAGCATTTGAATTTTGTTGAAAATAATTCAGGGGAAATACTTGTAGTATATTCAACCACAATTTGTTACAAGATAAATTCTTATTTATATAATACCTGCTAACTAACTAACCAAGCTAACAACCATCTAATAAATAAAACTAACTCCAACTGCCTAGCTTTAACACCCCCCTCAAGTTGGGAACCAAAAAACACTTTTTACACCCAACTTGGAAAGCAGTTAACCATGTTGTTGTTGTCCCAAAGCTTTCGTCATATTAGCAAACTGCTCACGAGTAGATCATGCTCAGTCTAGATCATCTTCTCTTGAATCTTCTCTAGTACAAAGTGACAGTCAATTTCTATGTGCTTTATGTTCATGAAAAACAGGGTTGGCTGCAATCTTAAGTGATGCCTTGCTGTCACAGTGTAATTTTACTGGCTATAAGTTCTTCACATTCAATTCTTCAAGAAGACTTTTTAGCCAAGTTATCTCAGCTGTAACAATAGCCATGGCTTTGTACTCTGCTTCTGTCGAGGACCTTGTAATCACATTTGCTTCTTTGACTTCCAAGATATCAAGGATCCTTCAATTTCGATGCAAAAACCAGTAATTGACTTCCTTGTCATAGGACAAGAAACCCAGTCAGAATCACAATAAGCTCTAATTTGAAAACCGTTAGATGCTGGCAGTAGAATTCCTTGTCCCAGTTCTTTCTTGATGTATCTAATTATTCTGAGTGCAACATCCATATATGACTTCTTCGGACATTGCATAAATTGACTCAAGTAATTGACTGCATATGTAATATCTGGTATAGTGTAAGTGAGATATATCATCCTTCCAATCAACCTCTGATACACTGTTTTTTCTTCTACCAGACCATCATCAACATCCTGTTCAACCACCTTGTCATAATCTGCAGTTGTCAGTTTTAAGTTATTCTCTAAAGGAGTTGAAACAACCTTAGCTTCCCCTAAACCATTGATAAGCTCAAGGGCATATTTCATTTGATTTAGCAAAATTCTCTCTTTTGACCTTAAGACCTCAATACTAAGGAAATATTTTAATTCTCCAAGATCCTTCATTCTAAAATTGCAATTCAAAGTTTGCTTGAGCTCATAGATCAAGATCTCATCATTCCCAGTTATAAGCAAGTCATCCACAGAGACTAATAAAACAACAATTCTACCTTGCTATTGTTTAGTGAACAATGAGTAATCATGCTTACTTTGCATGAAACCTACAGAGATTAAAGCTTCAGTAAGCTTTAAATTCCATTGCCTTGATGCTTGTTTAAGCACATACAAAGATTTTTGTAGCTTACAAACCATATTCTCCCCCTGAGTACAAAATCCTTCAGGCAAATCCATATAAACTTCTTCAACAAGGTCACCCTGTAAGAATGCATTAAACACATCCATTTGAAACAATGGCCAATGAAAAACAGAAGCAAGAGCCAAGACAGTTCTGATAGTGACCATTTTAGCAACAGGAGAGAAGGTGTCAACATAATTAATTCCCTCATTTTGATTATAACCCTTGGCAACAAGGCGAGCTTTGTACCTTTCAACCTCACCTGATGCCTTGTATTTCACCCTATAAACGTACTTGCATCTAATAGCAACTTTTCCCGGGGTAATGGCTCAACAATCCATGTATTGTATCCAAAGACAAAAAACTAGATTGTCTTGCAGATGAAGAAGATTGACAAGTGCAAGTATAATTTTGTAACCATGAATGAGGTTTTGAGATTCTAGTAGATCTTCTCTGTGTTTTAAAAGGCGCGAGGCGCTCCAAGGCGATTAGCTACCTGAGAGCCTCAATTTTTTAGGCGCTTTGAGGCGAGAGATTCACGTACGCGAGGCGCTTAATTTTACAAAACATTTGTAAATATTTTATAACCATACCTCAAACACAAAACAACTTAATAAGCAAAAACACCAAGTAGCATATGTCATATTGTATCTCAAAAAGACAAATAAAAAACATCATCAATAATCAAAATGCCTAAAACTCATCTTCATCATCATCGTCATCAACATCAATCCCAAGCACCTCCTCATCCCCATCATCTTCGAAAAGTCCAATATCCTGTTCTATCTCTTCATCGTCTTCATCAATTAAATTTAGTCCAGTTGAGGGCCTTCTACAAGTGGAGGTTTGGGCAACACCCTTTCCTCTATCTCTTGATGAACTTGATGTAGATGTTCTTCTAATGGAATAAGTAGCTTTAGATACCCCAGAAGCTTATCAACAATAGACCATGTTAAATCATCTCCATCAAAGACAAAGTCCTCCTCCTCACCATCTTCATCGTCTATATGGCCCATCAACCACTCGTTGCTTTCATCTATTTCCTTTAAAAGAATAGGATTTGTGGTATCCTTTTTTTGATATCTCTGTCGCAAAGAACGATTAAACTTGACATACACCATGTCATTTAAACGACTTTGTGCCAATCTATTTCTCTTTTTTGAATAAAGTTGTTGAAAAACGCTACAGTTCCTCTCGCAACCCGTAGCACTACAAGTTAGGCTAAGAACTCGGATTGTAAATTTCTGTAACTCCGATACTGAGGCTCCATATGTAAACCACCAATCCGCTATTAACATATAAAATAAATCAAAATTTAATTTTGTGAGGTATTATATATATAATATGCATATATGTGTCTGTGTGTGTGTTTTTTCCTGGTGCTCTCTATATACAAAATAATTTCATAAATTTATGAGTTAAATTGCAATCTAAAATTTTATGATTTAGTTGTGTTTTTTATTTATCTTATATGAATTGGTTTTATTTATTTAAATATAAATACAATTTTATCCATCTGTCAAGATTAAACGGATGATTTTATCGAGGGTGGTTCACAGATGAGAAATCCAACGGTTGATATTAAGTCATCCACACTGTCGACAAGGCGTGGCAGCGGATAGATCCAACTGGAGTGCACGTGTCACTCTCCAAAGCTTTCTTTCTTGAATTAAAAAAATGAGAAAAAAACTAAGAAAAGACGAGTAAGTTGCTATTTTCAGTTTCGGACAAAGAAAAAGAGAGCTCGATCGCAACAACAAAGAAACAAGGAAGAGAAACATAGAAGTTTTCTTGCATTTCTTATTTTATTTTCTCTCAAATTTCTCATGTTGTGCAGTTAATAGTACGGTCGTTAGATCGATTCATCTGAAATGGGTCATTGTACGTGAATCGCTAAAAGCATCGCCTCGTCGCCTTGTCATCTCTCGCCGCCTCAGACGACTGAATCGCCGCCTCATGTACTCGCTACCGCCTTGGTGGTCAGAGGCTTTCTTCTAAACGCCTCGCCTAGCGCCTCAAACGCGCTTTTTAAAACACAGGATCTTCTAGAGACTGGTGCATTTACTGAAGTAAAATCAGGAACAATATCAGAGGATAAATTAGAAACAGGTTGCAGAGGTGATGACTGTACAGGGGCAAGTGACAAAGGTTGTAAAGGTGAAGAGGGTTGTAAAGGTGGTTGCAAAGTACAAGAAGAGGGCTGAGAACTATTTTGAGGAACATGTAAAACCAAAAAATCAGAATCTGCTACATGAGGAGTAGAAGTAAAAAAAAAGAAAAAAGTTTATGAATCTGATGAAGTATGAAAAGAAAACTATTTTTTTATGAAATATGACATCTCGACTAACATAAAAGGACTTGGAATCTAGATTAAAGAGGAGGCAACCTTTTTGACTTAAAGAGTAACCAAGAAAAACTGAAGGAATAGCCCGAAAAGCAAATTTGTCTGTATTATTTAATCGAGTAGAAAAACAAAGGCAACCAAAAATACGAAAATGATCAAAATTGGGAGGCTTGCCATAAAATGTTTCAAATGGTGATTTCTAAGACAAGACAGATCATGGAAGTCTATTTATAATGTAACAAGCAGCAAGAATGCATTCACCCCAGAATTTTATAAGGACCTTAGATTGAAATTTGAGAGCCCTAGCCACCTCCAAGAGATGTTTATGTTTTCGTTCGACAACCCCATTCTGTAGGGGAGTACTGACATATGAACTTTGATGAGAGATGCCAAGAGAAGAAAATAAGGGCGAACAAACAGAATTAAAGAACTTACGACCATTGTCACTATGAATGGTTTTAATAGTGGCATCAAATTGTGTTTTAACACAGGCAAAAAAAATTTGGAGACATAAAACAGTGTCACTTTTCAACTTCAGTAAATACACCGAAGTCATTCTAGAGAAGTCATTTACAATAGTGAGGAAGTAACGGTGACCACTATATGCGGAAAATCTGTAAGGACCCCACAGATCAAGGTGAATTAAAGCAAAAGGAATGACAGACTTAGATGTACTGGAGGGGAAGGGTAACATAGACTGCCTAGCGAGAGGACAAATGGAACAATCATGAACAGAATTTGAATTAACAGAAGTATTATTAAACATAGGCAACATATTAAATTGAACAGCAGGAACATGCCCTAATCTGGAATGCCAAAGGCGTATTTATTGATATCAGAAACCATACAAGCAGAACGAATATCATTGGAAGGCATAACAATTGAAGAAAAAAAAGAATTGACATTACTCGAAGAATGTAACAGATAAAGACCCCTAGATTCCTTACCAATCTCCCTCATCATGCAATTGTAACTATCCTGCAATAAGCAGAAATGAGGATAAAACAGAATAGTACAGTTTAACTCACGAGTCAATTTTGAAACTGAAATGAGATAATGAGTGAAATTTGGCACAAACAAAACATTAGACAAACAAATGCCATTTTGCAACCTAACAGACCCTATATGAGTAACATGAGAAGATTTTCCATTTGGAAGCTGAACAAAACGAGAAGAACATGAAACAGGATATCCAAGCCAATGAAATCAGACAATATATGGTCCGTTGCACCAGAATCCAAGATCCATTGAATAGAATGTGTAGCAAGAGAGCAAGAAAGGGAAATACCTGCCAGATTCACAGAGGAATCTGCAACCGAAGCCTTGTTGAGAAGCCTCAGTAATTGAGTGTACTGCTCTGGAGTAAAAACAGGTGGAGCAGAAGAGACAACTGAGAAACTCGAACTTGGAGAAACAACATCAGAACCCACTCCAGCAGGAAGATCAGAATTGACAGCAACCATAGCCAAAGGAGCACCTCTCTTCTTGCTAAACTTGAAATCAGCCCGAAAACCAATGAGGCGATATAAATTCTCCTTCTTGTGACCTTTAACTTTACAGTGGTCACAAGTCCCTGTGAACTTTCGACGAGCCCCAGCAGCATTGGAATAAATGAATGAAGATTCAATGGAAGGGACAACTCCTGACAAGTGAAGCCGATGAGATTCTTCTCTAACCATCATCGAGTAGGCTTGATTTACAGAAGGTAATGGTTGCATCAATAAAACTTGAATTTGAAGAGCAGCGTAAGTTTCATTGAGGCCCATCAAACTGAAACAAGCGTTGCTGAGAGACGTGCATCGAATTCCGTTGAGATAGATCACAAGAACACGTGGAGAAGGCAAACAAAGTATTGTATTCATCCCAGAGCAGCTTCAATTTCGTGAAATAGCTGGAAACAAAATTTTCACCTTGAGTGAGCGTGGCGATCTCTCGATGACGGAAAAAAACCATGGAACCATCGACCTTGTCGAACCTCTCCTTCAAATCATTCCATACCACAGCAGCACTCGTCGCGAACACAATCCCAGCAGAGAGATCCTTACTGATAGAATTGATTATCCAAGAAAGAACCACAGCATTGCATCGATCCTATTGAGCTTTTAGAGCGTCAGCACAATCATCACGAGAGCAATCGCCATCAACAAACCCTAGTTTGTTATTCGCCAGAAGCACAATTCGCATTGAACGGCTCCATATTGTGTAATTCTCAATCCAAGAAAGATGATGGGAAACCAGAGATATATCAGGAGTATCGGACGGATGAAGATACAATGGATTGTTGAAGTCGACGGTGATAGTGTCCATTCTCAGCAAGAAATCAAGGGGAAAAAACGTACCAGAAACAAACGAGGAGAGAAAGAAAGAAGAAACAACAAAACGAGTTGAAGCCCAACAAACAAATGAGAGAAATGGGCCGTGCAACAAAAGCGTGAATATTAGGATCAAAAAATGACTGCATATACCATGTTAAAAATAATTCAGAGGAAATACTTGTAGTATATTCAACTGCAATATGTTACAAGATAATTTCTTATTTATATAATACCTGCTAACTAACTAACCTAGTTAACAGCCATCTAACAAATAAAACTAGCTTTAACAAATTTTTATTAGAATGAAAAGTCCAGCACCCATTTTGACTACTTGTTAATGACAATTCTCGAGTTTCACAACTTTCTTGTGATTCAGTTGCTTTGTTCTCTCTACTCCTGTTTACATGCTAGAAATAAGGCAACTTGTTCAAACACTGACCAGACTAGTTCATCAAAGTCTTCATTTCAATTGTACTTGTTCAGTTTTCATCAAAATTTCCTTTTCATTTGATTTGCATATAAACTTGTTCAGTTTCTGTGTTGGCCATGTGCTAAATGTAGTATGAACGAGATGAATGGTTTCCTGATAGCCTTTCAGCATTTGTTTTTCTCATAATCTGATAACAATGTTTCTGAAAACTTACCGTGGTATTGATATCATGGTTTGTGTTGTTTAAGCATTTTATGAATCATTCATCTTGTAATTTATCATCTATTTCCATATTTTAACAGGCTCAAGATAACATCATGAATCTTCCATATACAAATACAGGGTGCAGCATCATGGTTGGATCCTTGATGAGGGTGTAGCTGGTGATAAATATTTGGAAGAAAGTAAGAGGTGTTGTGACGTAGCTCATCCAGGTAATTTTTACAGTGATAAACGAACATGATTTCATTTGTATGCTTGGATCTGGTTTTGTTTGGCGCAGAAATCCACCTCTTAAAGAAATTGATTTGTATCATAAGAGAAAACTATTTTATTAAAAAAAGAATTCCAAATCCAAATCCTTCTTTTCACTTAATATTTCAAATGCGTCGATTGCTTTGAAAAGAAATAAAAAAAAATCTCATCAAAAAATAGATTGGATTATCTTATGAACTTAAAAAGGAAGAGGGGGCGACGTGGCGGATAAATGGAGTGTTGGTTTGATATGAGCTGAACCGCCACCTACCACTACCAATGCACCCACACGACTTGTGGTTCTCAATTTATTTGCCCTTTTCCTACTTCATCTCTTATTATAACTATTACTTAAAAATTCGAATCTAATCTACTTTTTGCCTTTTACCAACACAAATGGATATGGTATGGTTTTGTCTAAATTATTGTATTGTCATTTAAAATTAAAAGATAATTTTTATAATTAAAAATTGTTGACATTTCTTAATAATTTTATCAAAATGGTGAATAACTGTCAATTGGTTTCATTTAAATATAATTTATTAGTAAAAAAAATAAACAGTGGTCTTTGGAGTATCAATGAGACACTTATGAAACATGCTGGCGTGTGTGTGAGGCATATGAATCCTCGCATGCTGTTGGACTAAGAAAATAACTAGTATTTAAAAAAATTACCTTTTAGCATAACATTAAAAACAGGCCATGTATGCAATCTTGGCTTCACACCTGATTGAGAGGTTGCATATGTCCAGTGGACGTGTTTGCTATGGGACCCTAGTTTTTCTTTTTCCTTTTTAATATTTTTTATTTTCTTTTTCATTTATATAACAAAATTATAATTCGTTGTAATGGTGAAATCACAAAGTATATTGCTTACTCGGCATTTTGGTGTTGTTTTACAGAGTACATGGATGGTTTGATATACTGTTTTCAGAATCGAATCGAATCGAATCTAATATTTTATTTTATTTTAGTTTTTGAAGCTTTTTTATTTTTATTTCCGAATAATTGCGAGGTTTTTTATTTAATATTTTATCTTAATTTAATATTTGAACTTAACATTATATTCTAATTAGATGACATATACTTAATAGTCACACGTGAAATGGAAGATCTTAGTTTCCTTACTTTATTAATAACTTTTGTAGATATGAAATGGCGAAAGTCTAAGAAATTATGGTTTAATTTAAAGTTGAAAATGATGAAAATGGAATGCTACGAAAATATGATCAAAAACTATAATATTTTAGGTTAGAATAAAATATGTTATAAAAATATCACATTTTAGATTGTGTCTAATCAGAAGTGTGATATTTTTGTCACATTTTCGATCGTGTCTCGTGTCTCATTTCCGTCGTTTTTTAACTTGAAATTATAGATTGTACCGCATAACTTTCTAATGAAAGTAATAAGTGTGATGATGTTAAAAATCAGATGATTTTGAACTCATTGAATAACTTCACTAATTAAAGAGAGTATTGGTTTCTTTTAAAATTCTGGATTCTACAGTTGCATCTACAAGATTTGTGCACATTAATATAAATAATTTTATCAGTTAATTCATTTAATTATTTAATATCAATCAAGTCACAAATTGTTAATAATTAATGGATGAATTTACGTAATAATTAATCAAATTGATATAATTTTATATTTGATACTTATTACTTATAGAATCTATTAATTTAATTCTAATTTTAATTTAATTCAAAATTTTAATCCTCCAATCATGTGATATGACATGTATCACGACACACATCATCACCTGATTGAGGGTTATTTTTTTATTGATTTTAATTTATTTAATTAAATTTGTTTTCCTTCTAATGTGTCACTATCTAGAGATAAAATAAATTAAACTAAGATTAAAGTTTGGGGGACTCAAACCTAGTCACCATTCTTAAAATATAATATTATAAAATTATTTTATAATTTTAGATAATATTTAATTTATTAATTAACAGTACAAATCTTACTCACACATGTAGAAAAGAACATGAAGAAATATATATGTATATCGTATATGATTATGAACAATTGTTTAAATCTAAACCAATATATATTATACTATTATAAATAAGTATACTTGAATTTAAATAGAAATTCGAATAACTTAATTCAACTTAAAAATTTAAAGATAAAATAAAACTCATATGTTGGGATTGCGATGAAGCTCAAATTGACAACTGAATATTGCCAAGAGGGGGTGAATTGATCAATTGAAAATTTTGGGTATAGAGTTAAAAAAAAAGATAAGAAAATTTGCAAATGATTTATAGTGGTTTGACTTCTAAACCAAGTCTATATCTACTTCCTTAGCTCCACACTAAGGATTTTCTAACAAAACTCACTAATTTATTCTTTCTTTTTCAATGACAAAGAGATAGCCTTTACAAAACCCTTAGTTTTTCAATGGCTAAACGAAAATCACTCTCTTTTACAAAGGTTGAAAGATGTAAACAAGAAAACCTTACAAAGGTAGGTGTTTACAAGAATTAAGCTCGCAAGAAAACAATATAAAGATTTACAATGAGCTCAAAAACACATATGTACAAGAGAAAAGGAAAAATAAGAGTGAAAGAGCTTTTCTCTTGATCTCAATTGCTTGGATAGGTGTTGTAACCTTCTTCAAGTGTCTTCAACTTATTTTTATATGTTAGAATGAGTTTGTGGTCGTTTCTAGCCGTTGGGGATTATTTTTTGCAAAATAAAACTTCCCAGGACAGGGAGTATCGGTACTCCTTTAATGAGTATCGATACTACCTTTATAATTTTTAAATAAACTAGCCGTTAAAGACTGTTGGGCTTAACCATTATTGATACGATGCTCATGGTATCAATAATACTATGTAAAGTAGTATCGGTACCCCTTGGGTATCGGTACATATTTTTCATTCTGGAATTTGAGCTGTTTGAAAAAAAACTTGTAGTATCGATACTACCTAGAGAGTATAAATACTTCTCTTACTTTTGGTGTCGGTACCACATGAACAGTATCGGTACTACGTACCCAGAAAACAATTTTGTGCTCAAATTCTAGTTTAATGGACTTTGAATTATTTTTAAAAACTTTGAACAAATTAAATCAAGTCCAAAAAACATTTTGCCTTAATTTGTTATATCAAAATATTATAAAACATAGTTCAACAATCTCCCCATTTTTGATATAACAAAACATTTGAATTTTTTTTTTTGGCAAAACTCCCCTTAATAAAATATTTCATGAAAAAATAACTATTTGGAAAATATCAAACCTCTCCCTTTTCATTCTTGAAATTGAATTTTTAAACTCATACTTCTCCCATTTTTTGTTATATCAAAAATAATTCAACTTTAAGGTTCAAAAATAACAATGGAGAGTAAGTATAAATTTTAGCATTAAATCATTTGAAAAATCAAAGCCGCCCCTCAATAAAAGCATGCCAAACACGAAATTTGACTTTAAAAGCTTGACACTTAAAAAACATTGAATTTCAACAAAGATGAACAAACATGTTAGTAACACAATAAATTCAATATATCAAAGTCTAATATACTTTATGCATTACCCAATTTTTGTACTTAAGTGCATGTACATAAATCTATCCAAAAATGTTATGCATTTGAAAAATCGATATAAATTATAAGAGAGATATCATTTGAAATAAATTACTTGCATATAAACATTTAAATTAAGGTCAAAAATTAAAAATTGTAAAATCAAAGCATTAAAACCAATTTTGACCAAAAATTATTATGATAAACTAAAAATTATGAAAAATCATTAAAACTTTAGAAAATGTTCATCATAATACACTTTTCAATATACATGAGACAATAAACAATGTGTATCATTCATGCTTAATACTCATGCATGCATAAAACCAATACGCAACTAATTTACAAAATTAAGAAGCTTTAAGGTTAGAGGTTACTCATTCCTTTTTAAGTGTGGCTAGAGCATTTGAATATATTCACTTTCATCATCATTGCTCCCACACACCTACAAGAGACATTCATTTGGATTTTGGTACCCAATTGCTTTGGGTCATAGAAGATTAGTGCCAATGTCTCTAGTTCCCAAA